ATTTGTTACTAAAATTCTTTATGAGAATTTAATTTTGAGAAACATTCAATTATTCAATAAATTATTTACTTTTGCATTTAAATAATTAAATTCTTGTAGAATTTTCTAATAAAAATTGATTTTTATTTTTTATTAAAAACGAATTTCAGTTAAAATTTTAGATTATAATTGAATATTAAAAGCAATATAGCGTGAATTTTTAAATTAATATTTTTTGAGAAAGTTTAATTGAATTTTTTTTTATATTATTTGAAGTTTTTATTTTCTAATATGCATTTAATTAAAGAATTTAGGAATAATTAAAATTTCGTGAAATGGAATATTGTAAACAAATGGATTTGAAAATTGCCAAAGAACTTTTTTAAAAATTATTAAAAATAATTGATATAAAGTAAAATTGTAGTTAAAAATTTTTTGAAAATAATAATTGAATTGAAATAATGAAAATAATTTTGAAGAAGTATAATATTCTTATAATATAAAATAATGATTTTATTACTTGGTCATCTTTAATTATTATAAAATATGAAGAAATCGATCACTTCGAGTCGAAGACTCGTAGTTATCGATATCTTCATGTTTTACAGTTATAAAAAAATTTAATGAACTAAAATTTCATTCATCTTAAAAAATAACACGAAAGTTGATTATTTTAACCTTTTTTTGGTGTTAATTTAATCTGCAATACTTTTTAATACCTCACGATTTACTGTGTAGCTATAATTAAAAAGAAACTGAAATTTTTAATATGTGTGACAGAAATTTTCAGTAGTTTCTTAATTGGCGAATCAGTGGAAAAGGACTGAAATTTAATTTATTTTTAAGGCTTTTAACTGATTTTCAGTGAAATTCCACTGATTCAAATGGCGAGAATAAAGTCACTGATTTTCAGTCAAATTTCACTGATTTTCAGTGGAATTTAACTGATTCAGAGTTAGAGAGTATTTTACTATATTTTACTATTTTTTTGTGTGCTATTTTACTATATTTTCCTACGTTTTTCTATATTTTACTTTTTTTTGTTGATATTTTACTATATTTTACTATTTTTTTTTTTGCTATTTTACTATAAGTTTCTTCGCTTTTGTAAACTTTACTATATTTTACTATTTTTTATTGCTATTTTACTATATTTTCCTAAGTTTTCCTATATTTTACTTGACGAAAAGAAATATTTACCTGGAGCAGCTTAAAATTTCACTATATTAGCGAAATTTTTAGTTGTCCCACTTAAGGATATCAAATTGAGACAAAAAAATAATTATATTAAAGTTTTGGAAAATAATTGAATTATTGCGAAGAATTTACTTTTTTACTAAATTAATTGAATTTTTTCAAAGAATTTGATTAAAATTTTGGAAAATAATTGAATTTTTATGAGCAATTTTATTGTGTTTGAAAATAATTGAATTTTTTATTTTATTATTATTAAAATATTTCAAGAATCTAAATTCTTTAAATTTTTTTTATTAAATTCATATTTTTTTACTGCTTATATTTTTCTATACTCTTCAAAACACCTTTAAAGCAAAAATAAGCGTTAATATACTCCTTTTTTTGTACAAATGTTTAAAGTAAAATCAGTATAAAATTCACAAGGACCACAATGTATAAACAAAAATAAAGGCAGATGTTTGCCATGCAAACCTCAAAGGTCGTAGCAGTAGTAGCTAGTATATATAGTGTAATGAAACTTTCAACCCATTTTCCACTCTTAACTTTTCAACTCGAAATGAAAATAAATTTTCTAATATTCCCAGTGTCCTGGAGGGAGAATTCTATTTAAGTAAATATAAATTTATTTCCTTCTATTTAAATTTATTTCCTTCTATTTAAATTTGTAATTTAAATTTACATTTAAATGGTGTTTGTAATGATTATTATAATATGCAATGCATTATGGTTTTTAATACATTAGAATGCTTTCACCCTATTTTTGGTATATTTATGTTATATGTGTGTGGAACGTGGTTAAATCAGAAATAATAATATATGGGTGCGCCTGCTTTAGGGTGTAATAATTCGTATAAATTGTGGTCATTTCCCGAAGAGTATATATTAGGCCATTAGATTAATTCCTCCATTAACGGTTGACAATCACGTTATTTCAATTATCACTGTCACTTTATTTTGATGCGGTCCTTTTTTCTGCTAAATTTAAAATTTTATTTTGTAATTATTTTTTTTTTTTGGTAATATTAATTTTATTAAATATTGTATTAAATACATTTCGCTGTCATTGTTTCGATGATAAATGACAATGCCCGCACGACAAGGAGAGTAGAATTTAAATCACCATTGTGAGATGATGTTATCGGCGTTTACTATCTATATATGCATTTTGGGAATTCATCATGATATCGCAATGGAATTGGATTTATTGATTCCAAAATTGCAGGAAAAGTACGCAGTCATCTTTGTAAAGTGCGTCTATTCATGGAAGAGAGTAGTGGCCCAGATGTCTAGGCTATTTGGCTGCGTTCGTCCGAATTCACTGGTTTGGATTCTCCTTGTCCTGTCAGGGGATTATCGCATTTGTAGCAAACCCATTCACTCCATTCCAGACATTCAAGAGTGAAACTATATCTCGCATACCGTAACTATCGAAAACTTGTAATCAGCTGTTACCTACATTGGACTTTACGTTGCCTCAAGACTTTGATTTTGTGCGCAGTTTAACTGTTGTGTAGATACCTTTATAGCGATTTTGCCTCGACCCCCCACTACTCGAAAAAGGCCGATTAGTCTAGGATCATAATCGCTGTTCTAGGCTAATAATTTTTAATATTAATTTTATATTTATTAAAAATTTAGAAATTTTTAAATACTTTCACTGTTTCGAGCCCTGTGAAAAAGAAGAATTGATTTTTCACTTAAAACGCAAAAAAAATTACTTAGAATTTAGATGTTATATTTAAAATTGCACCATATACGCTTTTTCCTAAGTGCACTTTTCAATAAAGAAGAGAAAAAAGTGAATGCAGAATAAAAAAGGAATTTAATTGAAAAGATTCTTGACTTTAGAAATTTAACCGCGTACAAAGTCTTGTAGAATAATCTTCCCTATATCAAAATGGATTTAGGCAAAGCTGTTACGAAAATCCCTGACTAGAATCAAAAATAGCAAGGAAGTAATATAAAAAGCTCACATATTTTTACCTCACATACTAGCAATTATTTCGCACCGAAAAATTGTATAAAAATAAAAATAAACTAAATAATATTGTGATATTGACATATTCGGGGTTGAATATTTATCGCACCATTGAAAAGTGTGAAAAAGTAACCTGCATAGTTAAATGCGTCAACTTGTCACAGCAATATTGAATCCCCTCCTCCACCCTCTCTATCCTACATGTATAAGACTTTAACCCATTTAGGGAAAATTGATTGATTCGACAAAGTTTTCTTCATTTTTTTTTCATCCCTATATAAAAACCAACTAAATGCAATCTATCAATCGATTTTATTAAATGGTTATAAAGGGCGGACGTGAGGCAAATTGATATACATATATAGCTATAACGGTATAAAATTTTGTTGATTTTGAGTAATGTATGTCTCTGTACACCTGTCACGTGACAACATGGTGTGGATGAAGATGTAAAAAAAATGTGCTGAAAAGCGTGACGTTTAGTTTATGAATGGATTGGCTTTTTTCCACTTTTCGATTAATCCAAATTGAATGAAATTGATTGGAATGGTCTCAATACTCGAATCATTCAAATTGGAGTCATTCAATTTTTTGTATACTCTCAATGATAAATTTTGTTTTTAATATTTTACGCATGGTTTAATTTGAATTATTAGTTTTTAACTCGATGAATACTATATAAATTAGTGATGAAAAAGTCCTCCAGTTATGTAAATTTGAAAGAAATTGTACTATGGTTACTTTTTATTAATTGTGAATTAAATTAATTTGGGTGACCCAGAAATTGATTGGTATTGTTCTAGCCATAGTTTAGGACCAGAAAATAATTTTTATACTCAACTGTGAATAAACAAATGACAAAGTTTGACCAAGAAATTATTTTTCATCTTCTGCTGATTATCGGCTGTGGTTATTTTTCATTAATTGTGAAATAAATTAATTTGGGTGACCCGGATAATATTTGGTATTGTTCTAGCCATAGTTTAGGAACAGCAACTAATTTTTCATTAACAACTGTTAATAAACAAAAGACACAGTTTGCTCAAAAAATTATTTTTCATCTTCTGCTGATTATCGGCTGTGGTTACTTTTTATAAATTGTAAATTAAATTCATTTTAGTGTCTGAAATATTTATTGGTATTGTTCTAGTCATAGTTTAGGACCAGAAAATAATTTTTATACTAAACTGTGAATAAACAAATAACAAAGTTTGACCAAAAAATTATTTTTCATCTTCTGCTGATTATCGGCTGTGGTTACTTTTTATGAATTGTGAATTGAATTAATTTTTATGACCCAGATATTATTTGGAATTATTCTAGCAATAGTTTGGGACCAGTAAAAAATTGTATGACTAAAAATTGTTAGTAAACAGAAGATAAAGTTCGCTCAAAAATAATTTTTCATCTTCTGCTGATTATCGGCTGTGGTTACTTTTTATGAATCGTGAATTAAATAAATTTTGATGACCTAGATACTAATTAGAATTGTTCTAGAAATAGTTTAGGACCAGTAAAAATTTATTTGAATTAGTAAACAGAAGTTAAAGTTTCGTCAAAAAATAATTTTTCATCTTCTGATTATCGGCTGTGATTACTTTTCATTAATTGTGAATTAAATTAATTTTGGTAACCCTGATATAATTTGGTATTGTTCTAGCCATAGTTTAGGACCAGAAAAATAATTTTTTTATTAACATTGAATTAACATTGAATTTTCTCGTTTAAAGAATATCAGGTATGCAGATATAAAACTCATGGATGACGTTGAGAAAAGAAGTATTCGTGTGAGTATTAGATTGAGGAGAAGGGGTCTGGTCACCCAGTTTCCTTATGGTCTTCCGCGTCAGTGCCAGTGGTAGACCTTGAGAATACACGAAAGCATCGTGCCAATAAAAGAGATGCGGTTGGAACGTCGGTCAATGACGTCTCGACCATGATCTCATGGTGTTTTATAATTCTATTTTCATTACATTTCATTCGAAATTTTACACAAATTCACTTAAAAAAACGTGAATCTTTCAAGTGTCAAAAATTTTATCCTACTTGTGTGACTTGTGTAATTATTCTTGTTTCACATGTGGTACCAACTTATCAGTGGCCTTCATTTAAATTTTGGTCCACATCCCAATTGGAGAACTCAAATGTTTTAGAATCAAATGATTCTAGTGCACGACTTGCTAGGGGTGAGTATTCAATTGCTCCAATAAACTTCTCCTCTCTCCCCCCTCTTTCTCTTCATTCCTCTTATCCTCCGATACTCTCTCTCTCTCTCTCTCTCCTCTCTCTGTGTACTTTGCTAATTACTCGTTCGTCGATCACTGCCTAGCAGTAATTGACTTGCCACCTATCACGACAGTTGGTGTTCGGGCTCCAGTTTTCCAAGAGGAAAACTCTTCATTTACTGCTTCAACAATCGTTAATAAAAAAAAAGCCCAAAACAAATGCGATTTACGAGTCGATTTACGAGTTTTTTAGAGTAAATAGAACATGAAATCGTTCTCTATCAGTCTAGCTGGATTATATACCCCTTTTTATGAGAGATCTCAAAGCTAACTTCGTTTGTATTAATTTCGTTTTTTTGTTCTTCTATCAGGCTTCGCACTCATCTACTAAAACCTACTATTTACTACTTTTTTTCAAATTTTCAATTATTTTTTTAAAAAAAGTCGAAATTCAATTTATTTTCAATATCTGGTATTTTCATAAAATTTCGCAAAAGAATTCAATTATTTAGAAGAGAAAATGATAAAATTCATCAACAATTCAATTATTTTCATAAATAATACAATTTCCACTGGAATTCAATTTTAGAATAACATTTTCAGGAATTCAATAATTATTTTTTAAAACTTTAATAATAATCGTTGCAAGAATTCAATAATTTTCATAAATATGTTAAAACTCATCGCAGAATTTCAATTATATTTAATAAAATTTTTAATGAATTTCGCAAAACATGCGCAACCTTTCTTAAAAATTTTAATAAAATTTATTAAAAGAATTCAATTATTTTAAAAAAAATTTTAATGAAATTCTTCATATAATAATTAAATATTGTTTTCAATTTAATTTGAATAAAATTCTTTGAAGGAATTCAATCATTTTCATAAATAATATATATAATTTTTAAAGAAATTCAATTATTTAAAACACAATTTATTCATAAAATTTTTTGAAAAAAAATCATTTTTTTGAAGAGATTTTTTAAAATTCTTCTCAAGAGGGCAATTATATTAAAAACTTTATTAAACTTCGGTGACAAAAATTCAATTATTTTCATAAATAATAAATTTTATCGCAGGATTTTAATATAATTTTAAATAAATTCCGCTAAAAACGCAATTGTTTTTAAAAATTTGAATAAATTTTTCCAAAAAAAAATTCAATTATTTAAAAATAATTTGATATAGTTTGTTTCTTAGAGTGTAATAATATTATATTCAACTTTTCAATTACATTTCTTGAATGAATTTTATTATTATAAAAAATGTTAATGCAATTCTTCGTAAAAATTCAATTCTTTTAAAAAATGTTGATAAAAGTCTTTATAAAAATTCAAATTTAAAAAATATTTAATTTCAAATTAATTAATCGAAAAATTTAATTATTTTATTAGAAATAAAATTTTCCACAAGAATTCAATTATTTAAAATAAAATTTTCATAGTATTTATTATAATTCAAAAAAATTCATTATTTAAAATAATGTTTGTAAAATTCTCATGAAGAATTCAATTATTTTCAAAAATAACAAAATTTCTCAGAGAAATTCAATTCTTTTTCAACATTTTAATAAAATTTTCCGTAATAATTCAATTATTTTCATAAATAATAAAATTCATCGAAGGATTTCAATTACTTTTAATATAATTTTACAGGAATTGCTCAAAAAATGTTATGTAATTACTTTAAAAATTATAATTTCAATTCCTCGAAAAAATTAATTATTTGAAAAAAAGGTTTCTTTTAATTCTTTGGAAGAATTCAATTATTTACACAAATATTAGAATTTTTCACAGAAATTCAATTATTTTTTTAGATTTTAATAAAATTCTTCCCAAGAATCCAATTATTTACATAAATAATTCTTCGAAAGAATTGAATTATTTTTGAAAATTTTAATAACATTCTTTAGAACTATTCAATCATTTTTATAAATAATAGAATTCATCTGCGGATTTCAATTTTGTTTAATATAATTTTACAGGAATTGCTCAAAAAATGGAATTATTTTAAAAAATATAATTTCAATTCCTCGAGAAAAAAACAATTATTTGAAAAAAAGGTTTTTTTCAAATTATTTTCGAGAATTAAATTATTTAAAGATAAATAACAAAATTATTCCCGGGAATTCAATTATTTTGAGGCATTTTAGTAAAGTTCTTTGCAAAATTCAATTATTTTTATAAATAACAATATTGATCAGAAGAATTCAATTATTTTTAAAAAGAATTCTAATAAAATCGTTCGCAATAATTCAATTATTTTCATAAATAATAAAATGCTTTTTAGGAATTGAATTATTTTCAAAAAAAATTTTATTAAAATACCAAACAGACATTTCATTATTGTCAAAAATTTCAATAGAATTCTTTGTAAAATTTAATTAATTTTACAAACTTTTCGCAATTCAATGATTTTCAATATCTACGATTTTTCAATCTATTTTCATAAAATTTCCAAACAGAATTCAATTATTTAGAAATTTTTTGTAAAAATCTTTCTGAGAATTCAATTCTTTTCATGAATAATAAAAATGTCTCAGGAATTCAATTATTTAAATTAGAATTTTCATAAAATTAGTCGAAAGAAATGAATTATTTAAAAATTTTTCTAAAATTCTTTGCTGGAATTAAATTATTTTTATAAATATTTAAATTCTGTCATGAATAATATAAAATTCGTTGCTACTTTTTTTTAGTTGGAAGGCTACTTTTTGCTACTTTTTTAAAATTAATTATCGAGTTTTTTGCGCAATTGAATTCATTATCAAATTTTCAATTGAAATTTTTATTTTTAAAATTATTCTCGACGCAGAGTTAATTAAAAATCGATTCAGAAACTATATATATATATATATATATGTATGCAAATGTATATTATAAAAGTATAATTATTACGATCGAAGAGAACAAGTATAGCTTTTTCATTTTTATCAAATGGAACATCGCTTTATTTATCAAGTGTATTTTAAGTATTTTAAGTATTTTAAATGATTTTATCATTCTGATATGTTTTATATGTGCATTAATTTTCATAACGGTTTATTTGCACCTCTGACCTCCGGTTCAATAAACTTGGTCTCATTCTAATTTTGAAATGTTTGCTTATATCAAAATAATTTCCAACTTTCGTACAAATATATATATATATATATACTCATACATCTATAATTCTCGATTATCCTCGCTAAAAACTTTAATTCAAAGGTACGTAGATGGATTTATCTAACTAGTGCGGTAATAAACAGGTAAAGTTAATAATAAACCGTAAAGTTAATAAGTAAAGTTAATTAACAGTATTAACACTGTTGCTAATTAACGAATTGAAAAAAGTTAATCCCCCTCTTTGGAATGTTTATTAATTAGGAAAAATTAGTGTCAAAAATCATTAATTGGCACAAACATGATGTTTTAATGAAATGAAGGAAAATTAATTAAAAAGAAGAAACTTTTTTTTGCCGTTATTTAATATTTATCTAGAGGAGATAATTATTATGAGGAGATAATACACAAAAGATTTATATATTATAATGCGCTCAAATTGTAACTTTGAAGCAGTAGCGTTTCCTCTTTGAATGTCAATATGTAATATGTTGCTTCTAATGACTTTATTACAATAAAAGTTCTAAACCTGAGGCAATTTAACTTTATAATTGAATGAAATTATACTGAAAGTGAAAAGCTTGGTGTAGGACTTTTAGAGTATATTCAAGTATCAATTAAATTAAACTATTCCTGAAAAGGAGAGAGAGAGAGATATATACACAGAAAATTTCACATCTACAACCGATAAATCATCTTGCTTTGTGAATATATAATTTTAATTACATTGCCTACGCGCGTACAATGAATAACAATTTAACTTTCAATTTAATTCTCTAAAGCCATTATATTATAATAATTCTGGTGTATCATAGAATTATATTAAACTGCGTGTATAACAATGTTTTAGTTGCATACGTTAAACTATTGAATTATTTAATGCTACTGTAATCAATTTTTATATTTTAATTTAAAATTTTATTTGGTTATTTGTGATTTTATTGGTCATTTGTTATTTTATTGGTCATTTCTGATTTTATAAGTCATTTGTTATTTTATTGGTCATTTGTTATTTTACTGGTTGTTTTATTACCTAGACATTTATTATTTTCTTAGAATATTTTTTTCCATGAAAAAAATGTGTCTTAATCAATACCAAATCATTTTTAAGATATTTTGAAAAAATTATCCTTCGATGAATTTTTTTAATCCCTGATGGATTAAAGCATTGCAGATTATTTTAACCCATTTTTGATGTTAAAATAATACCCCACAATTTTCTGTGTATAATTATTAGATTTCATTAGGTTTTTGTTATTTTAAATGAGACAAATTTTGACATTGACATTACAAGTTTCAAATTTTATCTAAAATAATTAAATTTTAAAAGAATTGAAATTAAAATATTTGTTATATTAGTCAATTTTTAAAAGATTTAAATTCTTAATTTTTTTTAAAAAACGTTGAGAAATAAAGCTTCGAAAAATATTCTTTAAAATTCTTATTAGGGTTTTGAAATATTTTTGTTTTATTTATTGAAAATTATCGAATTTTTAAAAATAAATAATAAAAAAAAAATTAATTATAATTAAAATTCCAACGACGGTATAGCTTTTATTTAAAAAATTAAAATTTTATTTTTTAATCTAAATCCTTTTGTTTTATTCTTTTAATAATTGAAATTGAATTTGAATCAATTTTTTGAATTATGAACTTCATTGAATCGGAGTTGAATATTTTTTTTAATTGAAAATTAAAAGCACTTCAATTGTTTTTGTAGGAATTAGGGGAATTGGAGAAAATTTTATCAAAAATACTGGAAAAATATTTTTTGAATTCAATTTTGTTGAATCTGAGTTGAATTTTTTGAATTGAAAATTAAAAACAGTTGAATTTTTTTAACAGATATCAAGGAAATGTCAAGAATTTGTACAAAAATATTTAAAAAATATTTAATTTCAAGAAATACTACAAAAATTCGGGACTTTAGTGTTGAAAAATAGTTTGGAAAAATTCAAAAAATTTAAATTCTTGAATATTTTTTTCACCCTAAAAAATAATTTAGAATTACAAATTATTATTATTATTTACAATTATTTTAATTATTTTTGAAATAATGCCGTCAATTTTGTTAATTCTATGAGAATAATTAAAATAGTTTAAAATAATTAAATTCTAGAATAACTTTTTTAAAATAAATTATAATAATTAAATAAATTATAATTAACTTAGACAAGATTGTAATTATAACTGTTCTGATTTAAAAAAAATCAATTTTACAAAGTTTTATACTAAAATTTTCAAAATTTCAATTCTTGAAAAGAAAGTAATAATTAACTTATTTATTTAAAAAATTCTTTAAATTTTTATTATTTTTTATTTATTCTGGGTTTTTTATTCTTTAATTTTTATTCATTTATTCCTTTTTCATTGTAATTGAATTATTCAAAAATATATCTACTTAAATTTTTAAAACAATTATTTTATTAAAAATTGTTTTATTTTTTTAGTAGCTAAAATTCAATTTGAATCTATTTTTTAAATTGAATTTTATTGAATCGCAGTTGACATATTTTTATTGAAAATTGAAAACACTTCAAATTTTTTTTATAGAAATCAGGGAAATGTCAGTGAATTTTACCAGAAATAGTGAAGAAATATTTTTTGAATTCAGTTTTATTAAATCTAAATTGAATTTTTTAAATTCAAAATTGAAATTTGAAAATTAAAATCATTTATTTTCTGAATTCAATTTTATTGAATATAAATTGAATTTTTTGAATTGAAAATTGAAAAGAATTAAATTTTTTTGTAGGAATCAGGGACATATCAGAGAATTTTACCAGAAATAGTGAAAAAATAGTTTTTTAATTCAATTTTATTGAATTTAAATTGAATTTTTTGAATTGAAAATTGATATTTGAAAATTAAAAACATTTATTTTCTGAATTCAATTTTATTGAATATAAATTGAATTTTTTGAATTAAAAGTTGAAAAGAATTGAATTTTTTTGTATAGGAATCAGGGACATGTCAGAGAATTTTACCAGAAATAGTGAAGAAATTTTTTTTTTATTCAATTTTATTGAATATAAATTGAATTTTTTGAATTGAAAATTGAAAATAATTGAACTTTTTTGAAAGGAATCAGGGAAATGTTAGGAAATTTTATCAGAAATATTGAAGAAATGTTTTTTGAATTGAAAATTGAAATTTGAAAACAATTAAAATTTTTTTCTATAGGAATCAGAGAAATGTCAAGGATTGTTATCAAAATATTATTGGAAAAATATGTTTTGAATTAAATTTTATTGAATAAGAGTTAAATTTTTTCAATTAAAAATTGAAGACACTTGGAATTTTTTCAGCAATCAGGGAAATCTCATAAAATTTTATCAAAAATACTGGAAAAATATTTTGAATTAAATTTTATTGAATTCACATTAAAATAAGAAATTTGAAAACCCCTTGAATTTTTTTTTAATAGTAATAATTATAGAGAAATAATTAAATTTCTCTTTAGAAATTCAGGGAAAAGTCAGTAAAAAACAAAATCAAATTTTTGTCTTTATCCTGAATATCAAAATTTTAAATACAAGTTCAAAACAGGAGACAGTTTAAGCAACTTTCTTATTAGTTTTTCGAAAAATAATTATTAGTTCATTAATTATAAGTGTCTTTGGGGGAAAATATCTTAAGAAAATCGAAAACTTCATTTTAGTTGATTTTTCAAACTTTCGAGTTAAATTTTAAATGCAATTTTTGAACTACGTGGAAATATTCAAGCAATGCCAGATTCCCTTGCTGAAATGTCTCGCCAAACTATAAAGTACTCTAAGGAATTATTCAGTTGTGGCTTGTCGTCGTTCATGAATCTAAATTTCAAGAACAATTTCTCAAGGGAAATAAGTTTCACATATTTATATTATATTTATAAATAGCGATATTTTTGATAATATAAATAACTATTTATTTATTTTCTATTATAAATAGATAGCTATTTATTTAGATAAGATTTTAGGGGAAATTTTGAGAAAAGTTTTATAATTTTTAGTTATATTAGATTTAATATTACAAAATTCTATTTCTAAGATTTTGCTATTTTTTTTATAGCTATTTTTTGTCACACTTTTTTTTCATATGATTTTTCTAATGATGCTCAATTTTTTCCTTCTTGATAAATAATTAATCACTTGAAAATAAAATTGTATATATATATACATGTATTTTGTAATGAATAGTGAGGCGATTAAGTGGAAAAGTACGAAACACTGAAACAAAGTAGAAGAGGTGCGAATTATGGCGAACACTTTAAGACTCTAATTCAGTCTCGACACCCACTTAAAAACTCAGATCTTCAATGAGTCGAGTCAGCTTTTTGAGAAGGCGCACTTTTTACGAGATGAGAACAAAGTTCAAAAGGGGGACAAAAAAAAAACCTTTTCAACATTGTTCTCCTAGCTTTTTTTTTAATTAGTGTTTACATTGCTCTATATTAATGTTTACACTGTCATTGTTACAGTGACAACAATAACAATAACAATACAGTTCAGAAAAATACAATTTTTCTTTTTTTTTTGTTCAAAAAGGAATTTAATAAATTATTTTATAAGGTTTTTCAAAAATTATTTTAAAATTATTTTCTTTCTACAGTTTAAAATATTTTCAACTTATTTTCTTCCAATTAATTTTAGTTTACTTTTCTTCAATTCACAGTTTTTCTAAAGATATCAAATTGAGACAAAAAAATAGAAAAATTAATTAATTAAATTAATTAATTTTCAACTTATTTTCTTTCAATTATTTTCAATTTATTTTCTTTAAATTCAGTTTTTTAAGAATCTGTCTTTAAAACCCATTTTAATATTTTCTGAAATTAAGAAATTTAATAATTTCTGAAAATATTTTCTGACCTATTTTATTTTTTGACTTTTGAATTCCTCATAAAAAATTGTCTTAAAAATGATTTTGTAGAATATTTAAATTATTTTCTTGATATAATTAAAAATATCGGTGTACCCTCCCCTTAAATTATTTTCTTTAATTCTTTTTATTAGTTTGATTATTATTTTGAATTATTTTCAAATTATATTGAACGTATTTTTTTAAAAACTATTTAGAAATTATTTTTTTTTTGAAATAATTTCTTTTTAGAAATTATTTTTCGTTGAAATAATTTCCGTTGGGAAATTATTTTTCATTAAAATCATTTCCGGTTGGAAATTATTTTTCATTAAAATAATTTCCGTTTGGAAATTCTTTTTCTTTGAAATAATTTCTGTTTGGAAATTATTTTGATTTCAAATAATTTCCGTTTGTAAATTTTTTTTTTTTTTTTGAAATAATTTCTGCTTGGAAATTATTTGTCTCTGAAATAATTTCTGTTTGGAAATTATTTTTCTTTGAAATAAATTCTTTGTTTGGAAATTAATTTTCTTTAAAATAATTTCTGTTTGAAAATTATTTTGATTTCAAATAATTTCCATTTGGAAATTATTTTTCTTTAAATTAATTTTCGTTTGGAAATTATTTTTGAGATTTCTTATTTTTCTTTGAAATAATTTCTGTTTGGAAATTATTTTTTTCTTAAATAATTTATGTTTGGATATTATTTTTTTTTTTTTAATAATTTCTGTTAGAAAATTATTTTTTTTTGAAATAATTTCTGTTTGGATATTATTATTTTTTTTAAAAATAATTTCTGTTTGGAAATTATTTTTTTTTGAAATAATTTGTTTTGAATTAATTTCCGTTTAGAAATCATTTTTTCTTTGAAAAATAATTTTTATTTGAAAATTATTTCTCTTTAAAAAATAATTTCTATTTGAAAATTATTTCTCTTTGAAAAATAATTTCTATTTGAAAATTATTTCTCTTTGAAAAATAATTTCTATTTGAAAATTATTTTTCTTTGAAAAATAATTTCTGTTTTTGAAAATTATTTTTCTTTGAAAAATAATTTCTGTTTTTGAAAATTATTTATTTTGCAACCAGTGCGTCCATGGTATTGGAACCATTATCCTTTAAAAAGGTTTTAGTTTGAAAGCAACTGGACTATATTCGTCCCCCGTGAGATACGAACATTCTGTCCATTATCACTTAACGTCAAACAGAAAGTTGAGATTTATATTTCAATCGATGAGTGTCCTGTCATTCGAAAAGGGAGAAATAGTGAGCTAGATTTTTTTTTTTTATTTTTGAAATTTGACACTTTTTTCAGAAGCAAACAAAAAAAAATGTAAAGAAAAAATGATAATATTTATTTTTTGTTACAGTTTTGAATTTTTTTCCCATTCCGGTGGAGGAAGAGTGTCTCTCGGAAGATAAACGACTTCGGGGAATATGCATGAACACGTATGAGTGTCGCATTCAACAAGGCAAGTCACACGGCCCTTGTGCACTTGGCTTTGGTGTTTGCTGCATTTGTAAGTTCCAATTTTTACCATTTTCTTTCGCTTAAGAATATTCGAGTTATGATTTAAAGAAAATTTTCAATTTAACTTAATTTAGTTTTAATTTAATCTAATTTATATTTTATTTTTAATTTAATTTTGATTCAATTTAATTCAATTGCAATTAATCTAAATTAAATTAAATTGAATTAAATTGGATTAAATTGAATAGAATTAAATAGAATTAAATAGAATTAAATAAAATTAAATAGAATTAGATTGAATTAAATTAAATTAAATCGAATTTAATAGAATTAAATATAAAATTAAATAGAATTAGATTGAATTAAATAGAATTAAATAGAATTAGATTGAATTAAATTGAACTAAATTGAATTAAATAGATTTATATAGAATTAGATTTAATTAAATCGAATTAAACTAAATTAAATTGAATTAAATTAAAAATTGTTTTAAAATTTAATTTAATTTTAATTCAACGGTTCTGTATTTTTTTGCAGAACTGTGTGGCACTTTTTTACATAACAGTTTTGCAACAGTTTCGTAACAACTGTTACCATAAAATTATACGTAAAATTTTTATAAAGAAGAGACTGTTTTCCCTAAAATATTTTTTTTACCTCACATTTTTTCTCATCCAAAAACAGTTCACTTCTCAAATAAAAGAATTTTTTCAGACGAGAAACATAAAAATTCAAACAGTAAAAACGTTGCATTTGGTAAAACATTTTTCTACTCGAGATGAGGAACAGGATAAATAAACAAAAAAGATTCCTTTTAAAGTTGACTTTTCATTCTTAGAGAAATATAAAGAATATATTACGAAAAAGCTATTTGGGCAAGCAGTGAGATATTCAAGTCAATCATACTTAACTCTCTGCGGAGATTTCTCGGCAAAAAATATAAAAAAAAATAAATAAATAAAATTGTGAAAAAAAAATTATATACCTAAAATGTACACAAGCAAAACGCAAGAAAACTCGAGTGTGGAAAATTTTTATAAAACTTCAAGTCTCATTCTTCTTTTCTTGACAAAATAGTTTGCCTCTAGGTCTTTCGTTTCTCTCTCTCACTCTATATCTATATACTGTATGTGTAAACATTTTTAAAAGCTTAAAATCAGAGGAGTGCGCTATAATATACAAGATTTGTGTGCTCTGAAAAACTCGTCTTTTACTCTTTCGCGTGTACAGTTACTTAATTGCCTTTCGGTTCGGTTCTATGTCCCACATAACCGAGGAACCTTGCTTTACCTGCCTCCTGGAATTTCCAGTCGATCACGTGACCAGAATTTATATTAATTGCACAATAAAAGCAAATAAACAAATAAAACGAATTTTTGCAAATTTGTCATTTTTTTATAATTTTATATTCATTTTATAATTTATATTCATTTTATATACATTTTATATTCATTTTATATTCATTTTATATATAATAAAAATTACGTTTTAAAATAACAAATCAGCACAAATTTATTTATTTATTTCAATTAACAAATATTATTAAATTAACAAATAAATATTAACTTGAAACAAATAATTTTTATGAAAGTCAATTAATTTTATTTATTAAGAAAATAGAAAAAAAATAAGAAAATAACAGTTAATAAATTTTAATTAAACTTGATAAATGAAATTCATAACAAAAGTGTTACGAATTGTTAATTATTAAACTGTTTCTTAGTTTAAGAAGCCCTAGGGACTTGTTTCTCTAAATAAATAATAAATAAATAATGCACTGAAAACAAAATTTTTTATAATAAGCAGACGGTTATTTTAAATCAAAAAAGTAATTAATTAAATCAAATAATTTTTATTTAAGTCAATTAAATTGTAGTTGAACCCTGACCATAAGGTCTAATCTTATTGTCATTTAAAAAAAATTTTTTTCCCTAAAAAATGAATTTACTGAAATAATAAAATTTGAATTATAGAATTATAAAATTTGATATTTTGATAATTAGGAAATTTTCAATTGTGAATATTATATTAGAGAATAAAAACTTTAAATATAATTTTAAAAAAGAACTTTGTGAAAAAAAAATTAATTCTACAGAATTGTTAGTTAAAAGTATGAAAATTTCAAATTTTCTAAGATTTTAATTTGAAATCTGTTCAAAATTCAATTGTTTCTAAAAAAAATGCACGCAATAATATTTTAAATATTCAATTATTGTCTAAAATTTTAATTGAAATTCATTTTTATATGAATTTTTAATAGAAAATTCTACCGGAATTCAATTATTTAAATACAAAAAGTAAATAATTTATTGAATAATTGAATGTTTCTTAAAATTGAATTCATATGAAGAATTTTATCAATAAGTTTTTAAATAATTGAATCCTTTTGACGAATTTTAATAAAATTTTTAAGAATACTAACATTTTTCGAGAAATTCGGTTAAAAATTGAAATTCTGCGCTGAGTTTCATTATTTATGAAAATAATTGAATTATTCCGAACAAAATTTATAAAAAATTTGTAAATAATTGAATTTCTGTGGAATTTCTATTATTCGTGAAATAATTGAATTTCGGAAAAGAATTTTATTATTTATAAAAATAATTGAAATTCTGTGATAAGTTTTATTATATTTATGAAAATAATTTAATTACTGCGAACAAAATTTATAAAAAAAAAATTGTTAACAATTGAATTCCTGTGAAATTTGTATTTTTTATGAAATAATTGAATTTTGCAAAGAATTTTATTACAATTTTTTTTTATAATTGAATTCTCTTGGAAAAATTTATTAAAGTAGTATAGATATTGAAAATAATTGAATTCTTTTGGACAATTTTAATCAAATAGTAGATATTGAAAATCATTGAATTGAAGCAAATTTTTCTAAATAATTGAATTTCGGAGGAGAATTTTATTACCTATTTATAAAAATAATTGAAATTCTGCGATAATTTTTATTATAGAAATAATTGAATTTTATTGCGAACAAAATTTATAAAAAATTTGTAAATAATTGAATTTCTATGGAATTTTTATAATTCATGAAATAATTGAATTTTGCAAAGAATTTAAAAAAAATTTTTTTTAAATAATTGAATTCTTTTGGAAAATTTTATTAATATAGTAGATATTGAAAATCACTAAAAGGAAAATGTATGAAAATATTTGAAATTTTGTTATTAATTTTATTAAAATTTTTGAAAATAATTGCATTTCGGAGAAGAATTATTGTTGTTACAATTTTTTTAATTAAAAGTGAATAATAAAAATAATATTCGACATGCAAAAGTAAAAAAAAAAAATAAAATTAGTTTTAAAATTGCTTTATTCGAAAGCGTAGAAATGGAAAATGAATGGAGAATTTTTCACAGTCAGTTCGAATGCATTCTCAAAAGCAATCTTCTCTTCTCTATATTATAAAATTTAAAAATTTTCCTTTGGGTAAATATGAAAATAATGTTTTTGTGGGGAAAAAATTTGCTCTTCAGCGGCTGGAATGAAAATCCACTTTTCTCTTCCTTCCAGATATCAGGGATGAAACTTGTAAACTTTAAAGTAATTGAAACCTTCTTGAGACCCTTGATAAAAAAAAAAAAAAAAAAAAAAATAGAAAAAGAAAAAAGAATGAAAGAAAAACTTTCTTGGTCCTTTGAGATTGGAATAAAAGAAGCACTTGAAATATTGGTTGACATAGGATTTATTGTTGATTCCATTACTTTTTACAGTTGAATGTTCGTTTCATTCTTACACTCATATCTAATTCTCGAGTGAAATGTCAATATGAAAATATTTATGTATATTTTTACTTTTCTATCTATTTTCTTTTATTTAGATATTTTTTTTCTATTTATTTTTTTTTCGACACTTTTATGTATGCATATATCAGAACTGTGACGCAACTGTTAAATAATATTTTTTAAAGAACTGTTATACCATTTTCTTTGTTAAAAAAAAATTCCGTTATATCAAAAACATATCCTGTTTTCTTCCATTCTTTTTTTGTATAATTATTAAAAAGAAGAAAAAATGAATACTTCATTAAAAACAATTTTTTTTTTATTATTCCTGGAAACATTTTTAATAATGAATGAAAATACGATGTAGTTAAAAATTGTATTATTCTACAATATTTGAAAGTTGTACATAGAGAAAATCTTATTCCACACAATTTTAATTAAAAATTATAAAAATCTCTCGGCACTAATGTAATTTTTCGTTTAAATTTAAATTTTTCCCTTTTTATATCACATAATAGGAAAAAAAATGAAATTCCCATTTGCCATTAATTTGTACGCGCTCATTTATTTTAGTATTATTAAATTTTGCAAAATAGGTTTCTCCCGAAACGAAGTGCAGTGTGTTTAAATTAATCATTGCCCCACGACAATTGGAATAATTACATTTGCATGTTTACAAATTTTCAGGAAACAAGTGTCCCAAATAGGTTTCATGCTTTTCTTGGCATGCAATGTTCCTGGGATTTTTACTTGATTATCGCCATTAATAATGACTGAAAATTTAAACTTTTCTTCTTCAAAACATGCAAAAAGTTCATTTTTTTTCTACAAGTTCAATTAGCATTTTTATTTTCAAGTTTTTCGAAGTTGTGAATTTATAATTGTATAATTGTTATACATAATTGTTATGTAGAAAAATGAAACGAGTATGATTTTTTTAAAAATATTTTCTCCACGTTTCGAAAAATAGGGAATCAAGAACATAAATATTGTGAAAAATTTTCAAACATTGGATTTAATAGTTTTTGAGGGATAAAATGGTGGTTTAATTTCTCCACTTGGGAACGTCAAGGTCACCACCAGATGTCAGTAAAAATTCCAATCTAAAAGCTACTTTTTTTCATGTTTGAGAATTTTTAATAAAATTCTTTGAAACGATTCAATTATTTTCACAAATTTTTCGTGATTCAATGATTTTTAATATCTACTATTTTAATAAAATAATTCCCAAAAGAATTGAATAATATTTAAAAAAAATGCTTATAACATTCTTAGCAAACATTCAATTATTTTCATAAATAAAAAAATTTTAATGAAATTCTTTATAATAATTGAATTGTTTTCAATATAATTTAAATAAAATTTTTTTGAAAGAATTCAATTATTTTTATAAATAATATACAATTTTCAAAGAAATTCAATTATTTGAAACAGAATTTCTCTAATATTTTTCGAAAAAATTCAATTATTTAATTACATTTTTATAAACTTCTTCTCAAGAATTCAACTATTTTTATAAATAATAAAATTCTACTCAGGAATTCAATTATTTTTTAAACTTTTAATAACAATCGTTGCAAGAATTCAATTATTTTCATAAATATTAAAACTCAATGCAGGATTTCAATTATTTTTAATAAAATTTTAAATAAATTCGACGAAAAACACAATTATTCTTAAAAATTTGAATAAAATTATTCGAAAAAATTAAATTATTTTAAAAAAATTTTAATAAAATTCTTTATAATAATTTAATTGTTTTAAATTAAAACTCAACGCAGAATTTTAATTATTTTTTGAATTGTTTTGAATATAATTGTATTGAAATTTTTTGAAAGAATTCAATTATTTTCATAAATAATAATGTACAATTTTAAAAAAATTCAATTATTTAAAACACAATTTTCATTAAATTTTTTGAAAAAACTCATTTCTTTAGAAGGATTTTTTAAAAATTCTTCTCAAGAATTTAATTTTTTTTTTAAATTTTAATAATAATCGTTGCAAAAATTCAATTATTTTCATAAATAAAAAAATTTTCACAGAAATTCAATTATTTAAAACAGAATTTTCTTAATATTTTTCGAAAAAAATCAATTATTTAAACCGATTTTTATAAAATTCTTCTCAAGAATTCAATTATTTTTATAAATAATAAAATTGAAGGATTTCAATTATTTCTAATACAATTTTTAATGAATTCGGCAAAAAGACAATTATTCTTAAAAATTTTAATAAAATTCTTCGAAAAAATTCAATTATTTTAAAAACTTTAAATGAAATTCTTTATAATAATTGAATTGTTTTCAATATAATTGTAATCAATTTTTTCTAAAAGAATTCAATTATTTTCATAAATAATAAAGAATTTTCAAAGAAATTTAATTATTTAAAACATAATTTTTATAAAATTTTTTGAAAAAAATCATTTCTTTAAAATAAATTTTTTAAAATTCTTCTCAAGAATGCAATTATTTAAAAAACTTTTGAAAATAATTGAATTTTGGAGACCATTTTTATTTTTTATAAAAATAATTGAAAATTTGAGGAGAATTTAAAAAAATTTTTGAGCATAATTGAATTCATACGAAGCAATTTATTATTTATGAAAATATTTGAATTGCTTTAAAAGATTTATTTGACTTTTTCGAAAATAATGAAGTTTTTTGATCATTTTTATTGCAATTTTTGAAAGTAATTGAATTTTATGAAGAATTTTTTTTGTTTTTAAAATAATCATGTTTATAAATAATTGTAATTAATAATTTTATTATTAAATTTTATTAAAATTATTGATTGAAAATAAAAATTTTTTTTTGAACAGTTTTATTAGTTTTCGTGAATAATTAAATTTTTCTGAAGAATTTCTTTAAATTTTTTTGAAAATAATTCAGATTTTTTTAATAATTTCAAATGAAAATTTGGAAAATAATTTATGTTCACAAAGAATTTCTTTCAACTATTTATAAAAATCGTGTGTATTAATTTTTAATGTAATTTTCAATTAATTTCGTTAAAAATAATTCTTCCGCAATTATTCTTAAAAATTTGAATAAAATTCTTGGAAAAAATTTAATTATTTAAAAAAATTTGATATAATTTCTTTCTTAGAGTGTAATAATTTTTTTTTTATTTTTAATTACATTTCTTGAATAAATTTAATTATTATTAAAAATTTTCATGGAATTCTTCGTAAAAATTCAATTAATTTAGAAAATGTTGATAAAGTTCTTTGTAAAAATTCAATTTTAAGAAATATTCAATTATTAAATTATTCAATATTATTTAATAAATTATTTATTTTTGTATTTAAATAATTAAATTCTCCTAGAACTTTCTAATACGAATTGCTTTAGAATTGAATAAAATAAAATTATTAGTTTTGAATTATTTTATTATTTCAAGAAAAGTAGGATTAAATTTTGAAAGATCTTTTGTAATTTTTAGAAATAGTTAAATTTCAAAAATGCGTTACAGTGAAATTATTTGAAATATTTTAATTCCTGAGTAGAAAAAATAAATCTTAAGTATTTAAATATTTTTTTGAAAAATTATTCTATTTTTAAATGTAATTAAGAAATTATAAAAAAATTGAGTCAAGTTTAATTTTTCGATAGCTACTTTTTTACTATCTTTTTCTGTCTTTAAGCTACTTTTTGACACTTTTTTAAAATTAATTATCGAGTACGAATCCTGATATAATTATGTATTTATAATCACATATATTGAATTTAGAGAGTTTATAATATAATAAAAATTGATTTGAATTTTTAATTTTCGATATTTTTACGGTATTCAATATTTTAAGAGTCAGAATAATTAATTTGACTAAATATTAGTTTTAATATTATTAATTAATTTAATTAATATTACCTACTAAATATTAACTTTACTAAATAAATCAATTTTCAAACCTCGGTTTCAGAAATAAAGGCTTCGTACTCGATATAATTAATTTTAAAAAAGTAGCAAAAAAAAACACTAAAGAAAAAAATATTCTACATTGTATGCAAACATTTTATTATTTTCATAAATAATAACAGGAATTCAATTATTTACCAATTTTTTTTTATAAATTTCTAATATTGAAGAAGTTACAATTCTTTGAAAGAATTCAATTATTTTGATAAACATCAAAATTTAATTATTTTCCGGAAGTATGGAATGTAGAATTTTTGTTTTGAGAGGATATTTAGAAGAGGATTTTTCCTCTAAATATGAGATTTTCTTTTTTTAGGGTGTAAGGAAATAATAAATAATATTTAAAAAGAAAATAGTTGCTAAATATTTGTAAGTGGTGAAAAAGAGGCCTGTAATATAGTTATTTTTGGGATTATTTAAATTTCTAGAGATCTATGGTTCCTCTTTAAGATTGTCAGTCAGCGAAGGGAGAAGTTGTTGGAGAAGTATTATAAGGGAAAACGGGAGATAGATATATAGAGCTACTGAATTTTTCACAGGGCTGAGTTGTTTCGCATACGAGAAGCCAGTGCAAACATTCAGCCCAGGGAACTCGGCTGAATAAAGGGACCAACTGAAGCTAGGAAGTTACTGAATGGAAACTCGTTATCGGGACTTGAATTTTGAACAGGGGCACCATTGCGAAGCCTTAGAATCCTCAATCGTTGACCAAAGTGCACTCTCTAAAATTGTCAATTCACATATATACACTGTATGTGTTTACGTATATATATATATATATACACGCACACACTGATACTTAATATATACAACTCGTTAGTTACCTATATGTTACATCCATGGATGGTAGATTAACACACGATGTGGGGGGAATATTTGGGTCATCGAATATTGAATTTGAGATATTTATTTAATTATTTCTTTCCGATAAGTCACGACTGGTTGCGGTGGAGAGGTGCTGAATAATTTGACCTACGTTATCAGTCCAGGATTCCCGAATCTCATCGATCAGCCTATGAATTGTACAGTGACCATCAAGAAAATAGAGCAGCAAATCAGCCAGCTGAGAATTGACTTTCTTCATTTTAACATCGTAAGACATATTCCTCTTAGAGACATATTTTTAAATATTTTTTTTTCCAAATGTGTAAAATTCCAAATGTGTATTCTTCTCAAAATAATTTTCTTTTCTTCTCCACAATTAATATTCTAATTAATAATTAACTATATTAATTAATTGAATTAATGTTTCTCTGTAAATAATGTTCTATATACTCTATAATGCTATGGGAATTAATAAAAATACTTCTGTACTAAAAGGCACTAATAAAAATTAAACCCATATTACTCGAACTTTTATATTTACTACTAAAAAAATTGTTAAACCGATTTTATCGTTGTTTGGATTCAAAATTCCCGGGTGCGCAGTGGCGCCATCGCGAGGGACGCTTAGGAAACTTATTTTCATATTTACTTCTAAACAAAAATTATAGACTCGGAACTTTTTCACGTGGAAAGAAATTAATTTAAACTTTTTTATTACAATTTTGATCTTCTGCTAGTTGGCGGCTGTGGTTACTTTTATTTAAAAGTGCTTAAAAGTCACAATAAAATTTTCTAACTTTCAGGATGTTGTTCAACAACATCCCAGCAACAATCTAGAATGTTTCCAGTCAAAAAAAATAATAAAATTGATAAGAATTTAATTTAAACTTCTTTTTATGACAATTTTGATCTTCTGCTAGTTGGCGGCTGGTGGTTACTTTTATTTAAAAGTGCTTAAAAGTCACAAAAAAATTTTTTATCTCTTAGGATGTTGTTCAGCAACATCTCAGTCACAATCTAGAATGTTTTCAGTCAATAAAAAATAATAAAATTGATAACCCACGTGAAAAAGTTCTCGGGAATTGGACCGAGAAATTGCTGGTAGTCACTCTCAAGAAATTCTCGGGACTCTCCCAGGAAATTTACGGGATTTTCTTGGGACTTACCCGGGAACTTTTTCACGTGGGAAGAAAAATTTATTTTTGTGGCAACCCTGTAAACTGACTTCCCCAGTAGTAAACAGTAGTAAATTCTAGTAAATAGTAGTAAATAGTAGTAAATTGTAGTAAATAATAGTAAATAGGAGTAAATAGTAGTAAATAATAGTAAATTGTAGTAGATAGTAGTAAATTTTAGTAGATAGGAGTAGATTGTAGTAAATAGTAGTAAATTGTAGTAAATAGTAGTACATTCTAGTAAATATTAGTAAATAGTAGTAAATTGTAGTAAGTAGTAGTAAGTAGTAGTAAACAGTAGTAAATTGTAGTAAATTGATTAGGACTGATTGTCAAATGAAACGAGTAATTATGGGGAATAATTTTAATTGAAAGGGATAATACATTAAAGTGTGGCTAGTAATAGATGGTAGAATAGCAGCTGGTATTTGATAGGTTCAATAAAGTTAAGTTAACCTACTAGCGATGGTGGTTTCTCTCTGACAACCGAAAAGTTATATACACTGCATGTTCCCTGCAACAGCATCCTAGCCTATCATTTCCAGACTCTATTAAGTTCGTTTGCATGTGTTAACGTCAAAGGTCACATCCGTCAACCATTTGCTATTACCAACCCCCCAAAGCCTAATTTCATTGCTATATATGTATATCAAATTTTCTCCTCTCTCTCTCTTTTTCTCTAAAAGAAAAATCTCCTATATCTTGTTTTTCTTCAATTTTCCATTCAAATATATACACATCTCTTCCTCCCGGGTACGTAGAATATAATTTTTCCTTGCGAAGATACGGAAAATAGAAAACTACACTAAAATATTACTTTAAGTGCTCCTTCTTATTCGTAATATTTTAAATTAAATAAAGGGAAAAGTGTAAAATAAAAAACTATTGGGAGGTATTTTTTCTAAATTCTTTTTTTATTTTTTCAAAAATTGTTAATTTTTTCGGTTCGGTAAAAATTTGGTAAAAAGCAGTGAAAATTATTGTTCACTTAGGAAAAAATTAAATTTGTCACACACGTTATATTTATTTGAATAAGTATTGAAATTAAATGTAAATTTTTCAATTTTTTTTTGTTAAAGTAATAATGAAGATTTATTTTGAATTGCATCTTGCATGTGCGGTTTAATTTTTTTTTTATTTTTGTAAAGAGTTTTGGCTCATTATCATAGTCATATTCAAATTGTGCGGTTAGTAAGTTATCATATAAATTACAGTAAGAGAGCAATTTTACAGTCTATCGTTTCTTTGCCACTAAAAAGAGGAGGAAGAAGACATTCATAAGAGCATTATAAAGCATGCAGCTTCGCTTCCATGATAACATTTAAAATGTGCTATATTTTAAGATGGGAAAAGTTTAACTTGCACAGTCTGTGCGCCTCGAGCGAGTTTAGGTCAGACAATTTTGGGTGAGGGAGAATTTTCAACATAGTAACAAGGTGGGAAGCGAGCCAATGCAATTTTACCTCGAAAACCACACAAATTATTATTCATTATTTTAAAAAACGTCATAAATAAGTGCTTGAATTTTTAATTTTAGTAATATTCATCATTGCCAGGTTGTTAAAAAATTATTTTATTTATATTTTGTTTTATTTCTTCTTTATTTTACTCATTTTTATTACGTTATTTATTTTCTAATTTATTTACTATTCTATTTTATTTATTTTCTTTTTTATTTACTTTTTCATTTTTTCTACTTTTTATTTTATTTATTCTGTACTTTCTTTTACCATCAATTTTTATTCCTTTTTTTTGCAAAAACCTTTTTAAAAATCGGTGTTTTTTCAATAGTCAAAATTTAAATTGCTCTAACTTTCTCCCTAATTATCCAATTCTGCCCATTTTTTTTGGATTTACACTCCAGAAGAGTATATAAACTTAGACCTATAAGGGCGTCATGAAGAAACAATTTTTTCCTTTTTTTTCATGCTAAATTTGAAACACATATTTTTTCTTTTTAATAAATTTTATAGTAGTAGCAGGTCCACCCGTACGCCATCAGACAATCAAAATTTGGTAAAAACGAAAATAGAAATTCATTTCTTCCAAATTTAATAATTCTAATCATCTAAAAATTACCAGAGTACAAGTAGGGACTGAGCCCTACGCAATCCTGAATAATAGAGAATTTTATTTCAATTTTTAAGTAGTAGCAGGTCCACCCGTACGCCATCAGACAATCAAAATTTGGTAAAAACGAAAATAAAAATTTATATCTTCCAAATTTAATAATTGTAATCATCTGAAATTTACCTGAGATCTAGTAGGGACTGAGCCCTACGCAATCCTGAATAAAAGAGAATTTTATTTCAATTTTTAAGTAGTAGCACCCCCACCCGAACGCCATCAGACAATCAAAATTTTGTAAAAACGAAAATAAAAATTTATATCTTCTAAATTTAATAATTGTAATCATCTGAAATTTACCTGAGATCTAGTAGGGACTGAGCCCTACACATTCCTGAATAATAGAGAATTTTATTTCAATTTTTTAGTAGTAGCAGGTCCACCCGTACGCCATCAGACAATCAAAATTTGGTAAAAACGAAAATAAAAATTTATTTCTTCCAAATTTAATAATTCTAATCATCTGAAAATTACCAGAGTTCTAGTAGGGACTGAGCCCTATGCAATCCTGAATAATAGAGAATTTTATTTCAATTTTTTAGTAGTAGCAGGTCCACCCGTACGCCATCAGACAATCAAAATTTTGTAAAAACGAAAATAGAAATTCATTTCTTCCAAATTTAATAATTCTAATCATCTAAAAATTACCAGAGTACAAGTAGGGACTGAGCCCTACGCAATCCTGAATAATAGAGAATTTTATTTCAATTTTTTAGTAGTAGCAGGTCCACCCGTACGCCATCAGACAATCAAAATTTTGTAAAAACGAAAATAGAAATTCATTTCTTCCAAATTTAATAATTCTAATCATCTAAAAATTACCAGAGTACAAGTAGGGACTGAGCCCTACGCAATCCTGAATAATAGAGAATTTTATTTCAATTTTTTAGTAGTAGCAGGTCCACCCGTACGCCATCAGACAATCAAGATTTGGTAAAAACGAAAATAAAAATTTATTTCTTCCAAATTTAATAATTCTAATCATCTGAAAATTACCAGAGTTCTACTAGGGACTGAGCTTTACGCAATCAGTAGTAGTAGTAGTAGCAGGTCCACCCGTACGCCATCAGACAATCAAGATTTGGTAAAAACGAAAATAAAAATTTATTTCTTCCAAATTTAATAATTCTAATCATCTGAAAATTACCAGAGTTCTAGTAGGGACTGAGCCCTACGCAATCCTAAATAATAGAGAATTTTATTTCAATTTTTAAGTAGTAGCAGGTCCACCCGTACGCCATCAGACAATCAAAATTTGGTAAAAACGAAAATAAAAATTTATTTCTTCCAAATTTAATAATTCTAATCATCTGAAAATTACCAGAGTTCTAGTAGGGACTGAGCCCTACGCAATCCTAAATAATAGAGAATTTTATTTGAATTTTTAAGTAGTAGCACCACCACCCGTATGCCATCAGACAATCAAAATTTGGTAAAAACGAAAATAAAAATTTATTTCTTTCAAATTTAATAATTCTAATCATCTAAAAATTACCAGAGGTCTAGTAGGGACTGAGCCCTACGCAATCCTCAATAATAGAGAATTTTATTTCAATTTTTTAGTAGTAGCAGGTCCACCCGTACGCCATCAGACAATCAAAATTTGGTAAAAACGAAAATAAAAATTAATTTCTTCCGAATTTAATAATTCTAATCATGTGAAAATTACCAGAGTTCTAGTAGGGACTGAGCCCTACGCAATCCTAAATAATAGAAAATTTTATTTCAATTTTTAAGTAGTAGCACCACCACCCGAATGCTATCAGACAATTGAAATTTGTTAAAAACGAAAATAAAAATTTATTTCTTCTAAATTTAATAATTCTAATCATCTGAAAATTACCAGAGTTCTAGTAAAGACTGAGCCCTACGCAATCCTCAATAATAGAGTATTTTATTTCAATTTTTTAGTAGTAGCAGGTCCACCCGAATGCTATCAGACAATTGAAATTTGTTAAAAACGAAA